AGAAGAACCATGAGAGACTATGGACTCTGAGAAACAAACTGAGGGTTTTAGAGGGAAGAGGGGTGGGAGGATGGGTTATCCTGGTGATGGGTATTAAGGAGGGCACGTATTGAATAGACCACTGGGTGTTATACGCAAACAATGAATCATGGAACACTAATGATGTCAAGTATGGCGACTAACATAACATAATGAAATAAAATAAAAAAAAACAGAAAAAAAAGAAATAAGGGTGAAGAGTTCATTAGATCCACTCAGAAAGGACCTTCCTTGTAGGCATCAAATGAGTCTGGACTCTAGTTTGTGGGTCAGAAGTTCTCAGGTGCGGTTTTGGACCTATGGGCTTATTGCAACCTACTATGTACTGGGACAATGGAAGACGAAGGGTTGGTTTTACTGCTGGTGGAATAAAAATTGAGCATGGACCACAGTTTGTCTTGTACATGAGTATCCCATAAGAAATCTGGTCTACTTATGGGAGATCTGCTCATGGAAATGCCTCCCCCCACCCCAGGTATTTAGGGGCTAAAACAGCTATTATAGGTGAGAAGGAGCCAGTGAAGGGATTTAATAGGAGACTGGCATGGTCAGATGGGTGTTTTAAAGGAATCACTCAGGCTAGATAGGAGGGGACCATAGTGGAGTGGGAAGACTTGATAGGGAATCATCACAAAGGTGCAGGCAAAAGACGATAAAGTCTCACACCTTAAGTTCAGGTCCTTAGAGGTGGGTGGGTGGCCAGAAATGAGGGTGCACATCTGCATTCCACAGGTAGTTAGGATTCAAATTATCAGGACTTTGTGATGGATTGGTATGTGGGTTGGGGATGGGTGACACAAAGGGAAGAGTTGAGGAATTCTCCACGTTTCTGGCTTGGGTAATAACAGATAATGTAGCAAGAGGGCTAGTGTGGAGAAATGATGAGTTAGGTCTTTTAAGGTGCCTCTATTCTATCCATGTAATTATTGGGGCTAGAGGTGTAAACTGAACTTCATCAAAATCTGAAAGTTAAACTATGAGATAACTCAGGAAGAAGGAGTAGAGGGAGAATTGCAGAGAACATGCAGTAGGAAAGTAAAACAGACATGGAAGGAGCTTGCTCAAAAGGAGAAAATTTAAAGGCCATGAGACCAGACACAATTCTTCGGGGGCTCTCCAGCCAAGACAGTGGGGTCCCCCAGATCTAGTGATAACCTCTCAAAATCTTAGACTCCCATATTTCTTTTTTTTATGATTTTATTTATTTGTCAGAGAGAGAGAGAGAGAGAGCACACAAGCAAGGGAGAGGCAGGCAGCGGGGCTCGATCCCAGGACCCTGGATTCATGACCTGAGCCAAAGGCAGACGCTTAAAGACTGAGCCACCCAGGAGTCCCTTAGATTCCCTTATTTCATCCTTGGGTAAGTCCAGTGTGAATTTGAGGCTTGGTGCTTATCCAAATAATAATATTCAGAAGGGTGGAAATCTACAAGTAAAACCGTATGATATAAATTCTCCCATCCCCTACCACTGAGTTCCCTTTCTCTGTGGCAACTGTAGTTTCTTGGGTATCCTTCCAAAGGTATGTTCATAT